TCTTTATGGTTATTTTACAGTTTATTTCAACTCAATAAACACTTGCAACGAGGTTCTTTTTTGTAGGACCATGTTAACGTGATAGCAGCCGGGGAAGGAACCCTCCTAAATAGTGTAAAAAATTATGTGTTATGTCCAAATTATTTTCAAACTGGTAAAAACCAAACAAATATACATTATATTTGCTCAATGGAATTTTTTAAAAGAGAACGAGTTGTCTAGCTAGTAGATAATGTCAATTAAGAATGATGAGATGTGTTCCTTTTACTGTACATTTGTGGTAGTAATACCTGTATGACTTACCAGGTGGACGTAATCTGTGGGCTAGAGAGTGCCGTAACGACAGCGTCAGAACCTAACCGCTGTGAATACCGACTCACATTTACGACTCCTGCGGCCTGCCGAGCTGAACAGCCGTTAGAACCCATCCCTCATGATGAACTGTGATTAAGGTTATGGTATAGTGTCGCACCATAATGAGCATTTACGAATTCAACAGTGTGTTCTTCAACTTCTTTTTAGATCAAATTAAGTTAAGATTTGAAGAGAAACGTAAAATTTGAGATGGTAACAAATCTAAGTGTTGTATGTGAATTTTTAAATTAGTGTGAACTTTCTATTTGAAAAATAGGTGTACAACTTGGATCACAGTAGATATTATAAGTTAATTAGGTTAAACAGTGAGTCATTTTGGTTCTGTAATATCTTTCTCGATGTTCAAATTCCATTAAATTTTATATTTCATTTATGGTCTAAAAGAGCACAATTATGTTAAATGGTTTATTCTGCAACTCATAAATGACAGTAGATTTAATGCTTTTATAGAATTTTAAATTCAATAATTTTATTTTTAACGCGGTTTTTGAATACTAGTTTTAGCTCAGATATTATTTTTGGTTCTCCAATAGCCCAATTAATTATAAGCAACAGGTTTTCTTTTATACATTCCAGGTCACAATTATACGGTTAAGACTGACTGTAATAAACTATTGTTTATAAACTGTGCTTTCCTTTAATTTCCTTTGTTGCGAACTTTTGGCGGAGGTTAATAATATAATACCTAAAAATTTGGTAATGTTTAAGAACTACTTTATCAAATCCTTTATCTTCATGTGGTACTGTATGTACTACAAAGACTAATCTCAATATCATGCAGAAAATATCTTCAGCCAAGATTCATTAAGAACCAAAAGTTCACTTGAAACTTATGACTGTCAATAAAAATTAACTTTGCAAGAAATAGTTGTATATTATTTGGAGTTTTCCATAAAGGAGCTTATTACTGTCCAGTCAGCTTTTACGTGGAACTCATGCAAAGTGACTGGAGTACTAGGGCTACTCGGAAAGAAAGAAAGAATTATTCATGCCTGAGCTCGCTGATAAGTGATAACACAGAAGTGTACACCCCCTCAGTGGAAATCTACAAGCAATGCAATATCCTAGTTAAAAATATGCTGCGACCTGGTATGTGAGGTGCAGTCTTCAATAAGGTTTGTTTGCCAAAACTTACAACCTATAGAAACTGGAAACCTAACCTCAAATGTACGATAACAATGTAAATGCCTGACTACCTTCATTCATGTTTGGGATTACAGGATTACGGAGTATCCCAACCACGGAACTCCCCCCCCGGTTTCACAAAATTCTGACTAGTTACTGCTTTCGGCCTGCTGTCAGTTTGGTTTAACAAAATTTTGTCAGGCCAATCTTGCATACAGACGGTCAGTTTTAACTGTCAGTTAAGACTGACAAATAAAACATACTGACAAATAAATAATACAGACGGTCAGTTTTATTTGTCAGTCTTAACTGACAGTTAAAACTGACCGTCTGTGGGTTCAGGAAGGCCAACTGAACTCCCGAACAGACAGAGATGGGAATCACTCAATCTGGCTGGAGATCAAGGAATATCAATCAATCAATCATTGAGATGGGGATGCCACTTAGGTGACTGAGTAGGAAGTCACGCAACTGAACTCATTCCACATTTTAGTCTGCCACAACTGCTAGCTTCAATTCAAACGTCACATTGTCAGTCTATCTATTAAGCTAACAACACTGGTCAACTCTTGACTCATTCCACTCTTGACTGAATTACTTGGAGAGATAGTTTGCTCAAGTCAGATTCATCAGACTTGGAGCAAGGGTTGACAGTTGTAGCAGTTGTTTTAACTGCTAGGATGTAGCAGTATTTGTTGGCTTGCTGAAACTTGACTAAGTAGACTTATCCGAGGGAAACTAGGAAAGATAAATGAGGCTGAATATAAAATAAGAGAGTATTTATATAGAAGCTAAACTGTATATAATATTACAAATAAAATATCAGTAATAAATCAAAATCTATATAATAATACAACAGAAAATAGAATCAAGATGGGAAATCTATGAGGACATTTGAACAGTTTTTACCGAGTCTTTCCCACATATGCTTGGGACAGGTGTTTCGTAAAGGACACGTGAATCATGGCAAAGTTTGAAAACAGAAACGTATCATAGCTGTGTCAAACCGGTCCAAGTTAATATTACAAAATGCACACACTTTAGACAAGTGAACTTAAAAGTTCAACAAATTTCTATACCCTTATACAATTTATGTAAAATTTCACTTGTAATCAACTATAAAAATACCCCTGCTGCAGCAAACCTGCAGACTTAGCGAATTTCCATCTGCCTGATTGGATTTAAACTAAAATGTCTCATTAAAAATATCACATTTTTTCCCTATTTAAACAGAATTAGTTTAATGAGTACTTAGGTTTGCTGCAACAGGGAGGGTAAAAAAGTTTTTTTTTATATAAAATATTAAAAGGTACTGTGGTTTAGTAAGAAATTAATGTATTTTCCAAATTAGATTAAAATATGTTCATAAACAAGCTAACTACAACAGTTGACTTATTCTCCATAAGAATAACATGGGAATTTTAAAATTACAATTTTTTGAATTTTCTCCGTAACAATTAGGCGCATAATAACGCTTCAATATACTAAATTATTTGTTTTTTTAAGCTCTACAAAATGGTTTAAAAAGAAATTGTGAAATTCTGTGTTTTTAGGGTAAAATATGAGAAAAACCTATTTTTACCCCATAAAACCCCCCATAAACCCCCGTTCCCATAGTCCGATCATGCTGGTTCGCGAACTCATTCAAGTTTATCCCGCCTTACACCTTCAAACCAAATTTTATCAAAATCGGACAAAAATTACTCAAGTTATCGTGCGGATGGACACATATATATATATATATATATATATATATATATATATATATATCTCTATATATAGATATATAAAAATTTGAACGAATGGTGTTTTTGGCCTCTGGGGACATCAAAATGAAAAAGTAAATCGGTCCCGGGCTTAGGTCTTACCATGAGACCTACGGTAATAGCTACTTCCCTATAGGGAAATTCGCTAATAAAACTATTTAATGATAATTTAAAATTCAACACACATATTTAAGTCGACTTACAACTAACACTCTAACAGGCACAAATCAATCAAGAAGAGTTACCAAGTATTGATGTAGCATTTCTTAAGTAATCAACTTGAATATAAATTTAGGTGATATTTATTGTATTCAAAACCAGCCCCAATCACTTAAAAGTTAAAAATCACTCCAATACACATAAGACACCAAATTATAGCTGGGAATGAGTTTACAAGATTGATTCATCGCTGATTGCGCTAACAATAACAATTTACAATTTACTAATCATTAATCAACCACAGTAAGGTAAATGCTAGCAATACCATCAACACACTCAAAATGCATTTTTTGTTCAACTGACAATCCATTCAAAGACGTTCGAGAAACTTACACTCTATTTCCTGGGTGGTAAATTTATTTACATATTTTCACTTTCCGTCAGGTTAGAACAGAACGTAACTAACATTAACTAGACCTACGTAAAGTGAAGCTCATGCTTCACTCTTAACTACCGAGTTTTATATACACAATTTCTTATACACAGTAAGAAAATATAAAATTACTGACATTTCTGAGATCTCACAATATGAAAGACTTGAAACAGTTGACCGAGAAACCCTACAAAATCAAATGAGGTTTGACCAGACTTTTGGAGGGGTTCTTAGCGATAAAAACTTGTAAAACTGTGATTCCCAGATTTATACATTCAACATACACTATAATCAAAAGTAACTAGGCAAACTGAACGTATTAAAATCTTCAACTCCATTTAGAACTGTATTAAGGAATTTTTCATCTAAATTTACATCTTATGAATTACATGCAAAAGACAATGTGCGTTTAATAAGTGCAACTGATGTATTTGCAGTTTCAAATAATTCCCCTGTAAATTTTTGGGTGCTTATTTTAGTGTGGTGGAATAATAATGTTTGCACTTACAAGTAAAAAATATGATACAAAGTCACAAATCTCAAGTACCGGTATGAATGTTCTAACTTTTCAAACATAATCTTGGGTTTACAAATACTTATTTTTGGCAAAAATATAATATTGCATAGTTTTCAGTCAGATTCCGCATAGAGAATAATTGTTGATCGGTTATTCAAATTTAAAACATTTTTAGAAATCGAGCCAATTATTATTAGTTCAAGGATTTAAATGAAACCCTTAAAATCAGCAGTCAAATTAGCATTTTAAACAATCTTTGACTGGGAACAACTTGTGCAAGACTTTTTCAATGAATTATGCAACATTGATACTGAAACTATTTGAACACCTAAAACAATATCTATAATGTAGCATATCTTAAAGAAATTTAGGTGATCAATAATATTTTACAGAAGTGTACAAAGAATGCTTAGATATCTAAAGCCTAACCTAAGCAAATATGTAAGACAAATTGCAGCAATAAATGAAATTATTTTATACAATTTGTGCAAAGGTTGTTCTTGTGCTTCTACTTTAAATAAATAGTAATAATGTGCATGATGATAAAAAGGTCTAAAAAATATCTCTGTTGTAAAATAGTACGAAAGTGTCATAAGGTAACTTTTGATGAATTTTTCAAATATTAAATATTTTATAAATATTAATAATAGAATACATCTCAAGGTTTTTCATGTTGTTTACAGAAATTAAATACACTTTACCACTCAATTATTGTTTGCAGTGTATTGAAAAAAATACATATTTATCCATCCATGCTATTTTTGTTCTGCATTACGTTTCTACTTCTTAAAATCATTCTTTCCGATTATTATGAAACCGAGACAATATAACGGGTAGAAATCATTTCATAGAGAGACCTTAAAAATAGGTGCTAAAACTTCCTAGCTATCTATGTTAAACTAAAAAAAAAACACTTATTCCTACCGTCCAAAATAAAATATTTGAGTTCATTATAGATTAAACCAGAACTCTTTTCAACAGCATAAAATAAGTATAGAGGTACAACAAAGTATCCGTGGATAAAACACGACACTGATTTTAAATGTTGAATTTACACAACTAGTGATATTTAAAAAGGTTTATCTCAGAAGGCGAAAGTGCAGGTTGGCACATGTATTTACAATTAGGATGAGAATCGTTAGTTGTAAAAACAAAACATTTTCCTGATTTATTCAAAGAAAACTGTGCTTCTTACAAGGGTGAGTATATTCTATCAGTTAAAATGTACACAAATATGTTATACTCCTTGAATTAATTTAGCACCTCAATGAGTATGATCTCTAGGTAGGGGGATTAACAGTCAAACACCTGTCCCAAAACAAACTGTGCGCAGTGAGAACAAACCACTGAGACTGAGGCGTTGATTCAACGAATGCTCACCTAGATCGTTCATTCAACATAGTCTGCGCTAACCTTGTCACAAAAACCAATTACATACTATAAAGGCTGTAAGGATTTAACAATAAACAGTTTAGACGGATATATACAATGGTTCAAGACTTGATATTGAAAAACATGAACCTTTTCTCACTTCGTAATTGGGCGATTTTAAGACTTTTTACACCTTTTTGGCTTTAGAACGAATAAAATCTGTGTTCTGCACTATTATCAATAGTAATCTTATTGGATAAGAAACTCCATGTGCGACAATAGTTAGCTCTTTGAGGCCTCGGCTGGGATACAAAACAAAAGCTACTAGCGACATAATACAACCGATATTGCTCATCCACTTGATATTGGTGGTTGAAATACCAGTTAAACCCAAGCTCTTTCTGTATCCTGCAAGCATCTCTAAGATCCTTTATCTCGCCCAAGCATTCTTGCATAGAGAAAGTAATCTCTTGAAAAACCATGAGTCAAACAGTAAAATGTGTGTAAATACCGAGTGATACGAGTCATGCGACACCGCAACTGATGTACCCTCAAAGCAGATTAGCAAGCACTCTCGTCCCCACCCAGTGTAAAAGTGATCTGAAAATCGCCCACAAGGTTCCTACACGGTAACGCACGATCGAGGTGTAACATGTCCAGGCTGGAGCGCCTTGCGTTGAGTCTCTACATTACGCGGAATGTGCACTTTTAGAACAACTGACAGTATTTTCTTTTCCCTTTTCCGCCTCTCTTTCCCTTTGTCTTGCCTCTGTGCTCCTTCTGCAAACATGACACAAGAGTTGAAACTGTTGATTCTTTTCACTTATATTTAGTAAAACCTATTTCCTCTGACTGTCATTCAAATTCAAATAATCTTTATTTGTTAGTAGTATACATACATAAATAGTGTCAAATACAGGTATTGAAAAATGAAAAACAAAGGTTTCTTAGAATTAACAATGCAAAAATTGACTTTACTTCCTACAACTCATCGAAAGAATAAATAGCTTTGTCGATGAGGTACTGCTTCAATTTAATTTTGAATTATTTGTTGACACCTCATCTGTTATGCTTTTTGGAATTTTGTTATACAATTTTGAACCAGCATATTTAGGTTTCTTTTTGAAAAGTTCCAGAGGGTGAGAGCTCATTGCAATACAGCCCCAATTTCTGGTGTTATATTCACGATTGTCACCGATTAGCTCCAATTCCTGAAATCTATTTTTTATGGATAAAACTGTTTCAAAAACATACATTCCATAAACAGTCATGATGTTTTCTAATTTAAAATAATCTTTAACTGAAGTTCTGGGTTGTAAATTACAAATGATTCTAATGGTTTTTTTTGCATCATCAAAATGGAGTTTAAGTTTTCTTTAGTAGTTGCACCATATAGAGATAGCCCAAATGATAACTTTACAACTGTTAGAGATTCTATTTTCACAAAAATTTTTCAGCCTAACCAATACGTCAGAAGAAATTTTAGTGAGTAATTGTTCAACATGACGGTTCCATATAAATGTACTTTCTATTTCTAATCCTAAAAATTGTATGCTGTCTTTAAATTCAATTTTTTTGTCAAATATGGTAACATTAGGTTGGGTAAATTGGGTCAAGTAAGCTCAGTTTCAACTTCAAGGCTACATTGCAGATTGAAACATATAAAGATTTGACCAGGTTAAAAATTATTATGTTAAAAATTTTAAAACAGATTAATATACAAGATTTTCTAACAGTTAAAATGAAAGCATACAATGTTTTTAACAGGTTGTCAACAGCTGTCAACTCCTTTGTATGTGTAGTCTACTGACACTCAGTGGTGATTGAGTTATACTAAAAAACTAAAGCTAATTTGTAAAATAAATGTTAATTTTGTATGATCAAAATACGTAAAGGATTTAATTGAGAATACTTTCTTCTATGACACATTGATTTACAATAAATTTTCCCTTCCTTAATGTTATCGTCTTAGATCTTGTATGAAGTGAATCATCAAGAGGGAATGAGGGAAAAACATAGGTTTTTCTCATTTACTAAAACTATGTACAACCGGGTGGTTTTGATTAACTTCTTCTAGGCTCACTTTTGCAATTTTTTTTGTACAAAATAAGAAGTTTATAACTGTTGTACTCACATCTTTCCTAATTTCCCGTACTAGTGTGTAGAAAGCATCATCAACGCCTTGTCGTGTTTTGGCCGATGTCTCTACAAACGGGATACCGTAGCTTCGCGCGACGTCCTGCGCTGTTGAGATCTCCACCGCCCGGGTCGGCAGATCACACTTGTTGCCCACTACTGTTTAAAAACAAACTCACAATAAACCAACTGTAGGAGTCTGTTATTGGTGTACAATAACAAAGTCACCTAAACAACGCTACATTAAACTAAATTACATTTCAAGCCCTTCAATATGGTTTAGAAAAAAGTCCGCTGAGTGTAAAATTATCTCACGCTGAACCAACCAGTAGAAACATGACAAAAAACTCCTCCAGGAACCAGCTTACAACTTCTAAATTATTCTTATTCATGACAGTTGTCTAATTTTGGACATTGAAAGTTGAAACAAGTTTTTTTACCAGTTGGATAGAATTTAAAAAAAATGTCCAATAAGGTTACAACCGAGAAAGTCCTCTTGTGCTAAGGAAAAGACTATTCATTGTATTTAAATGTAATAAGAGGTTTCTACAAGATATAAACAGAAGAAAGAATCTCTGAAAATCAAAAAAGGGAGCTTTGACAAAACTATGATCCTAGAAGATTGGTCCAGCAATGGTGACTTGAAGGGCTTAAAGAAATACTGAGATTTCTGACTTTTAAACTATGATTATTTCAGTTGACACAAAATCAATGGTCAGTATATTGACTTTGTCCGAGAAATTTAAAATTAAAAATTAAGTGGTAGGCTAGTATTAAACTCCATTACGCCTAGTACCGGTAGGGGCCAAAAATCAATATTTGGTATCCTTCACCGTAGAGGTTGTTTATTGACTCCCATTGCATTATTGTAGTCCCTAATGACGATCAAGAATTGATTGTGATTCCCGACAAAGACACAATAAATATTCAAGAACTATGATTGAACTAGGACACTACTATGCAGAAGACAATACCAGGCGATACTTACAAACCATAGGCACCTCTTCTGCATCCTTTACTCTTTTAATCTGTTCCCTATAATTGCTGATGTCTTCGAATGATTTGGCGTTGTTTATTGCAAACACCAATAGAAAGCCTTCTCCTGTTCTCATGTACTGGTCCCTCATTGCACTGAAACCAAAATACCATTAATCAGAGAGTGGCAATATTTTATTTTAAATGTGTTTTTTTTTTAAGCAATTAGCTTAGGAATATAAAGAAGAAAGAAATTACACAAAAAACTAACTGTCCTTAATGGCACATGAATATTCTCTGGGATTATTTCAATAAAGATTTTTCTGTTGCCTATTGGCCTACAAAAAGAGGTTCAGGCAGTTTATAGCACACACAAACGTATTGCGACCTATCTGTGTGCTATTACATAGAGTAAGGTACAGAGGAAACCTACTAGTGGGACTATCGTGCGCTTTCAGCTCTAGTATGTGCCAGAAATATACTTGTGACGAGCTAGGAAGAGCTTGTTTGAAATAACTAGTGAAAAAGTGTTTCCAAAATAGAGAAGTCATTTTGAAACCTATCACTAAAATAATGGAATTGCAGTAGAAACTCGATAACAAGTCTTTTGGGGATGATAAATAACTTTATGTCAAGACAGGCTTCTCAAGGAGTTTTGCACATTTGATCAGGGGTGATGTAAAATTAAGGGTATTTGAAAAAAATACTTGTTATTTAGGGCAATTTGGAGGAAATTTAATAAGGATTAGTTTATTATTACCGTGAATCGCTAAATAATTATTGATAATGAAAAATTGTTAACAACTTCAATGTTCAAACTCTACCTCTTATAATACAAATCCTAATAATATAAACACACACGGTAGCAATTAAACGCTCTTCGATACTAAAAGGGCCTTGAACTGGGCGACACCACCTCCTAGGGCCGAGGCGGTGGTGGGGGAAGAGAGAGTGAGGCTTCATTCTCTCTCTCCACTGTTCCCTTAATACTCATGTACGAATATTTGCTGAAGAGTCGTGTTTAAATAACAATGTAGGCCTACTACGTGCTGAAATATTGTGTAAACACACTTTTCACCAAAATTGCGTTGTTGCATTGTGTTATGGTGTTGTGAGTATTGAAATAAAAGGAGAATTATTATATTATATAGTTATAATTCCAATATTATATATATCGTATCCACTGGCGTAGAAACAAAAAAATAATTTAAAAAATAAAATAATAATAATACATAAAGCGGTAGGACGGACACTGCTTGTCTTTAGGTGGGAATAGTTTAATAATAATGAATGTTGAATTTATGAATAACATAGTTACCTAGTCACTGATTAAGATTAGGACACTCTTAAACATAACAAACAAGGACAGTTAGGTCTAACTTTGATCATAGATCAAACATACTCCCTCAGTAGATCTCACCCTTATGGAACAGCTGAAGCTAATTGTTAGTCCTATCCGGTGCACTTAGAGGTTGAGTTTTGCTTACAATTTGTTTCTTGTTATTTCACCCATTTAAAACCTCGTTTGACCAAATTAAACTATTTAATCCTAAAAAATAACTCTTTACCTAGTTATATAGGGTAACCAAACAGTAAAGCACTAATCATGATATTAACCCTAAAATAATAGAAACAAAATTTTGTCGGCACTAACACCCCGTGTCACCCGACGTGAACTAGACACAAAAAACGAGCTTCAAAATTTACAATGGGAAGAGAAGTCTACCTGTGGTTGGTTATTCTATGCTTTGATCCATCTAAAAGCTACAGCATTTTCTCAGGATTGAACCAACGACCTTCTGTTTACGAGGCAAACTCTTTGCACACTCACCTATATTCTTCTTGTCCTGCTGTGTCCAGAATGTCCAACAGGCAAGTTTCTCCGTCTATTACGACCTGCTTACGATACGAGTCCTCTGAAACATCAATTTATACTTTTAATACTTTTAACTGAAATGACGACCATAGGAAATAAGTTAATATGGTAAAATTTATAACAACTACAACATTTGACATCTATATATTAATAGGCAAGCATATTTCTTTAAAACCTTTTTTCTCAGCTTGTGTGCATCGCAGGGAAAATCTGCGCATCCTGTTGGAAAGATATTTTCCTGAAGATGTGCAGAACCCCTTTGTAAATTAAAATAGGCTCAAAAATAAACACAAAAATGAATTTAAAATTTTGAAAAATTAACATGGATCTTATGGCAGGCAAGCATGTTTCTTTAAAACCTTTTTTCTCAGCTTGTGTGCATCGCAGGGAAAATCTGCGCATATCCTGTTGGAAAGATATTTTCCTGTAGATGTGCAGAATCCCTTTGTAAATTAAAATAGGCTAAAAAATAAACACAAAAAATGAATATAAATTTTGAAAAATAACATGTGGATCTTATGGGTTGCCATGCTTTTGTGTTCGTATTTAAGTGTTACCTATTTGACGACTCTGCACAGCCTCAGGGATCAAGAGGATTTTTGACTTGGTTGTAAGATTGAAAATGAACTTTTAAGGTACGAAACCTTGGTCGCTAAATAAATACGGATCACCGACAGTACAACAAGCATTTCACATTTTTATTATTTGTAAAAACGTGATCCAGAGGTTAAACATGTTTATTTTGTAGCAATAAAAACACTTTACTTACCAATTGTGGGATCATATTCATCCACGAAGCTGCAACAAAAGAGGTACTTTAAAAAACAGAAAAGCTAATTGTTTTTTAAATCAGTTAGCCTAAAGCAAAGCAATTTCATTGAAGTGTAAGTTAATTGAGAATTAGGTCAAACATGTTATACAAAAATACAGATCATTTTCTTTTAATTCACCACCAAATTAACTTAATATTTACTCATCATTGCCTCCAGGATTGATAATTGACAATATAAATAGGTTACATACCTTACGTCGTCAATCCTAAAATTAGTCTATGGCGACTAGTTTCGAAACATCAAGGTTTCATTGTCGTTACACTACACGCTGAAAAACGAATTGAAGAAACATAACGTAACTTTAGCTTGCAAAACTTCGAATAAATTAGAAAGCCCCCTAAATCCACGTACTACCGAAATAACTCATTCAAACAGCCTTGAGGACACTGGAGTATATAAACTGTCTTGCAGTGATTGTACTAAAATATAGCCTATATAGGACAAATAGGTCGTTCGTTCAAGAAAAGGTTCAACGAACACCTTCCTAAACCTAAATCGAGAACCCAACGCTCCAAGTTCGCCGAACACCTGATTAACGAAAACCACAATGTTAATAGCTGCAATGATAGCCTAAATATTATACACAAATGCACCAAAGGCTCCTTAATGAACGTTCTAGAAAGCTTAGAAATCTACAAAGCAACAAAAAAACATCCTCACAACATTTTAAATGAAAAACTAAATTTTGGCCGTAACATAATATTTGATAGGATTGAAGACATTGATAACGGAAGCGCTCACAATCAGCTGTTTCGCCCCCTCCAAGGTCAATGTCAACAGACAGGAGTCGGTTAGTTGAATCGTGTCCGTCACCGCGGTACTTATGGCCGGCCGCGCATTCATTTTTGTAAATAGTTTGTGTCCGTGTTCGTGTGTATATGTTAAATGTACTGTGTATAATGACAACGACAAGATGTCACAATGTTTTTAAGAGGCAAGAGGCTTGACAATGAAACCTTAATGTTTCGAAACTAGTCGCCATAGACTAATTTTAGGATTGACGACGTAAGGTATGTAACCTATTTATATTGTTAATATTTACATTTTAGGCCTATCTTTTTTACCGTTCATGTTTGGCTTTGTCTAACATAATCTTACCGATAACTTATGGTAAACCTAGCATATCAGGTGGTGAATTAACGGAAATAAAGAAGATGGTAGGCTACTAACTGAACGAATGGATATGGAATAATATTATTAAACTGAAAAATATATTTTGCAAGTTTTACTAGGTTTCTTACTCGTTGCTACTTAGCAAAACAGCCTAATGTTAATTAAAATCAAGCGTTTTTTTAACACGGTCTAGAACTATTATTTTTTTTTTTTTACTCACTGATTTTGGATAAGCTGGATCGTCAAGGCACTCTTACCAACACCTCCAGCTGAAATAGAAAAGATGCTTGATTCCAAAGACCTTTCAAAATACTGTATAGCTTTGGTCTTCCATTTAAATGGCTGATATGGGTACTTTGGTATTACACCGACCACACCTAATTTGGGTTAGGTTACCACACCTAGGTTAGGTTAAGTTAGTAGGATAAGATAACCTTACCAACTTACGGGTACCAATTTCGGTATGTGGTCACAATAATACCAAATTACCCTGATATGAAATAGGCCTATTAGTTATTGCAAAATAATATTAACTTAATTGAACTATAAAACATAACTTATTCAGGGTAGACTTCCGCAGAGAACCTACGATATATCAAACATTTTTCTTTCTAATTAAAAAGACATAAGTATAAAACATATTTGGTTTACAAAACTATAAACTATCAGGCAACTATACCTAATGTAAAAGCCTTACTTTAGTTTTACTTTTACTTTTAAGGTATCCCACAAAAACCAAATTGATCACGTTCAGCAGGAAATTAAATACAGTGTTAGCTGAGTACTCTCTTGATGGTAACCGGGTTCGATATAGGCCTATTAGGCTAGTTTAGTTAGTTAGGTTAACCTAACCTAAATGAAATAATCGAAGAATAGATATATCGATCGATATATTCATTCAAATGAGTGTAGGTCAGATACTTTGCAGCTTTTTTCTCTTTGCATAAACACATCGGGCACTAGGTTATTGTGGTAGATTTTTATGCTCTGCCTTAAGTCAAACATAATCGTGCAACTTAAGGAGAATGCCCAGCTTAACCTAACAACACTAATAAACAGAAAGCCTACCCAGGCTGACACTAACTGAAACCCCCGGTCTGTGAGACCCCATTTGAAAATAATGGAACCTACCTAAAAACACACAAACCGAAACCCTGGGCCTGTGAGGCCCCGCTTTAAAATACACTAACGCTGGGCTTCTGAGACGAGCATGATATGAACAGACAACCTGTCAAGGTCACGGCACCCACGCAAAATGAACAAGCAATATATATCAACAGATATTTAGGGGAGGAAAAGGGGGGAAGGTAAGTTATTGAGGTAATGGAATCCCCCAAGTAAACAGTGTTGCCAACATGCGTTTGTGAAAATCCCCGTGGGCTTGTCAGACCGGCGTTTCGGTAACTTATTAGTGTTAATATCTAAGTTAATAAGTGAATGATACGGTATTTGAAAGTTAATCTAAGTAAAGGTAAGTTTACAAAAAATAATCATTTCCTGTAAAATGCAACAAGTTAAAAGATTATCGGCTAGGTAGCCTAGCCTATATGGCCTTTTTTTAACCCTTCATGGACTTTCTAATGTGGTTGTACCCAACATTTTTTGTTTAATTAAGTTAATTTAACTAGCCTACTGCAAGTGATAAGATGTGTAGGCCTAAATCTAGTAACTTTTTCACAAACTGGAGATGAACATTGTTAGCCTTTTGGTAACATATGACAAGTTATAGGCCTAGCCTGTAGTTGAAAGCCTTCTACACAATAGGCCTACACATTAGGACAAAAGATAGCCTAGTTAGGGCCTATATTGTTGATGTGATGTGTGAACCAATACACAGGTCTTAGGCAAACTCTTCTATTTATCAATAGTTACCCGCAACCAAGGCTGAGATATTGAGACAACTGGGAAAATTAAGAGACCTCAACAGACACACATTCTGGCTTGACCTTACTGAAAGTTTGTCCCAAAAATATTTTCATAATAAACAAACTGCAGTGTGAAGACATTTAAATCAAAGAATAATCCAAATTTATGCAATATAGGCTACATTTCCATAACAAAGAGCCTACATAGGCCTATAATACAAATGAGTCATTGGATTATTGCTCCTTGTGATGGGTACTTACCACCAACAACAACAAGTTTGTATTCCGTCATTTTTCAACTAAACGAATTTACGGCTTGTTCTATCAACAATACAAGTACTAAATCTGCTTCATTTAACTTAAAATAACAATACTGGCTCTTAAAATCTGCACTTTTAACTACTTGTCACGCCCAAATGTTTACTACTACAGAAAAAAATCATAAACGTTTGTGGCTTGTGCTTGTGTAGACAGAACACGCAAATTAATGAACTTTTACTGGTAAATACAATAATGCTATCTGCTGGGTACTCTTGCAACTACTTGACAAAAGACAGGCAAACTTAAAAAACTGTTCTTCGAATATCGTACATAGTGTATATAAAATCCGGTATAGTTATTAAAAGGGATTATTAGGAATTTTATTTGTTGTAGCAATCATAACGCATAAAACTTACGAAATAATTGGAATTCATGCATGCGATCCCTCATATAAAAGTTGAGTTATTGAGTCTGATTTGATTTGTTTTCTATTTATTTATTTATTTATTTCCATTCCAACGGCCGAAGACCATATATTACAATCAATCATTGAGATGGGAACGCCACCTAAACAACGGATAAATAAATAAACATTTTAATAGTTTAACAAGGCTTGTGAACGGGTTCTAGAAGGCACACGGAGGTCTACTTGGGCAAGTAAAGCGGGGCAGTCAATTTGGCCAATGAGACGTTTGTGAATAAGGAAAACAACGTCTGCCACATAGCGTCTCAAGTGAAGATCTAGCAGGTTTAAATTGTTTTAGAAGACGGCCACTGGGACTTCACGGTACTGCATGCCTTGACGGACACAGATGAAATCTGATGTATTTCTACTGGATACCTTCGAGTTTGTTGATGGGCCCTAGATGGAAGCCGGGTGGCCAAACTGGGCTGGCGTACTCGTACTCCAACAGCTGTCGTATAAGGGAGCAGTACAGAGTCTTGATTTTTGACAATAAAGTATTTCTCTCTCTCTCTCTCTCTCTCTCTCTCTCTCTCTCTTGAGAAATTGACAACAGTGGGGGCCACCGTTAGTAAGCAGCCTCGCCACGCTGAAAGCGGTGCTTCAAAATTGTCAGAAATCGGCTCAAGAACCATGGGCATATGCGGGTGCCTGCGACTGTGATAGGTGAGCATCGGTGTCCGAGGAGGTTTGGCCTGATTGGTGAAATGTAGGGCCTCGGTCGATGGACGGCGCAGGAGTGATTGGCAATACTCCTATGAACCGGGGAACACAAAAAAAACCATCACTAATGAATTGTATGTAGTTTTTCAGGTTTCAGTTTGACCTACACCAAAGAGAAGCTTTTGAAAAGATTTTTATATTTACATTAATTGCAAATCAAGATGTCGGCTGATCAATTGAGAACATTGAAGGAGGATGAGGCTAGGAGAGAAGAAGCCAGAAAGGCTGAAGAGGACAGGATAGCGGCGGAAAAGGAGTTCGTGGAAAAACACGAGAAGGAGAGGAGGTTGAGTAGCTCCAGGGGGTCCGCGTCTGCGTTGGGAGGAGGCTATCGATCGGGGACCAGCAGTATGGCGGAGTCGGAGTCCGAGGCGGAGAAGCAAAAGAAGAGGAATAGAAGCCCTGAGGAAAAGGAGAAAGAGAAAAGGAGGAAAGCCAGGAAGACTGAGGATTTGGAATCGGATGAGGAAGAAAAGGTCGAGGATGAAGACGACCCGTTAGTTTGCTTGAGTTTGGTTCTGGATAAGATGAAGGGATGGTTCAAACAGCCAACCATCATGAAAATGGTGACAAAGCCTCAGACAGAGAAGTTTGGAAGGTACTTGAACCGGTTCCAGGAAGAGCTGATTAGGGCAAGAGAGGATAGAGTCCGGATTGAAACAAGGTTGGAAGAACGAAGAGAGTTTTTAAAGATCGTGAGCTCCACCGTGCGACATGAAATGGACAATCTGAAGGACAAGGTTGTTCCAGGCGCGGCTGGAGTGAGCTACTCAGCAGTGCTGAAGAAAGATACCCCAATGGTTCCAAGGGTAACTGGAATGAAAGGACCCGTAGTCCAAGCACCGAAACAAATTATAGTGCGGCATGACACCTTGGAGACTGAAGAAGTGACTAAAACCTTGAAAAAGTTAGTACGGCCTTCTGAAATCGGCTTGAAAGTTAAGAGGCTAATAAATATCAAGAATGGTGTGATTATTGAAGCAGAAAATGAGGATGGAGTGCAAAATCTCATGAAGCAAGAGACGTTGAAAGAAGCAGGGTTGAAAGTAGAGCGTCCGGAGAAGAAAAAACCTTTCATCATGATTTATGATGTTAGTGCTAAACTGACGGAAGATGAGGTCAAGGAGGAGATTTTCTCCCGAAACATGGGGGAGAGCCAAATTGTTGAGGCGGATTTCAAGCAGGAGTTTGCGGTAAGACATAGGTATAAGGATTTAAGATCGACAGGGAAAAGGTGTCATGTTGTGGTGGAATGTTCTGTACGGGTGAGGAACTGGCTAAGAAGGAAAGAGCGGATCTTCGTAGAATGGCAAAGTTGTCGGGTGAAAGACTATGTGGATGTTGCTAGGTGTTTTAAGTGTCAGAAGTTTGGACATGTGGCAAAGCACTGTAAGAGTGAAACCCCTGCTTGCTCCCACTGTGCTGGGGAGCACGACTATAAGGACTGCCCCAACAAGGGTAAGAAGGAAAAGGTTAGATGTATAAACTGCGTAAGAGATAAGAAGGAAAATAGCAAGCATGAAGCTGGGTCAAGGAAGTGTCCGGCCTATGAGAAGGCAGTCAGACGGCAAAATGAAAAAATAGATTATGGATTGTAGAATTGGGCAATGGAATCTAGGGGGAGGTAAAGTTGCTACAGATGAAGCACTCAAAAGATGTATAGAAGAAAAATTAGATGTCCTTCTTGTCCAAGAGCCATACGCGGTAGAGAGAAAGGTGAAGATAGCTGGTTGCAGAGTATTTCATGACAGGAGCGGAAGAGAAGACATTTGGAGTGCAGTTATTGTGATGAATGATACCATTGGCGCCATAATGGTTGCTCAGGAAACAAGTGGAACGTGTGTTAGTGTTAGGTTAGAGCAGAATGGAAAGTCAATGCACGTGATCAGTCTTTATTGTAGGCCGTCGGAACCCATTGAAGGTCACTTGGCATGGTTAGCTGATATAATAAGGAAGAAAGGAAATAAAGAAGTTGTTTGCGGAGGGGATTTAAATGCAAAATCGGGACTGTGGCTCAGTGGTTCAACGGATGAGAGAGGGTCGAAGGTGGAAGATGTTGTAATTGCTTGGGATCTGCACGTGGTGAACAAATTTAGTAGATGGACGACTTTTGAGAACACGCAGGGAGGAAAATCGAACATTGACGTGACGATTACGACAAGGGATCTTACAGGAAGAATAGAGGATTGGATGGTTCATGAAGAGACGCTAAGTGATCATAGGCTTATAACAATGAAATTGCGAAGGGATCAAATTAATCGGAGACATGAGAATGAACAGAGACAAGGGTCATACTGCTTAAGGAATGTAAATTGGGCAAGATTTGATGAAGCCTTACAAAGAGGTATACAAGCGATGGATGTTGAAATGGCTACAGCGGAAGTTCACGCGGAAAAGATTACGGAAATGACGTGCAATCTGATGGAGGAGCAGTTTCCAAAAGCGAAAGTAGGAACAAAGAAGGTGTACTGGTGGACAGAGGAGCTAAATGAATTACGAGTGAAGATGAGAAGGAAAAGTAGGATCTGGAATAGGACAGGAAGGGAAGATGATAGGAGAGCGTTTGTTAGGTCAAAAACAGATTACGTTTGGGGAATCAGGAAGCAAAAGAAGAAGATGTGGGAAAAGCTAATTGCGGAGGAAGAGGGCGACCCGTGGGGAAAGGTCTATAAGATTGCTGCAGAGAAGCTGAAAAAGGATACTGTGCTGGTTAGCCTGGAAAAAGAAGACGGCACAATGACGGAGACAGTGCAAGAGACCCTAGAGAGAATGATACAAGGATTGCTGCCAGATGATAGGGAAGAGGAGGATACAGAGGAACAATCAAGAATCAGAAGTAGGATGACTGATGAAAGCACCGGAACAGATGAGGAAGATTTCACTGAAGGAGAGCTAAATGCATGCGTTGCACTGCTGAAGGATAGGAAAGCGCCGGGAATGGATGGAATAAAGAACGAAGTAGTAAAGAGAATGTTTGGAAGGATCAAGGGGACGCTGTTGAACCTGTACAACAAGATGCTGAGAGAAGGCAGGTATCCTGATGTGTGGAAAAAAGGAATCGTCAAAGTTTTTCTAAAGAGCGAGGAAAAGGACCCAAGTAAGGTAAAATCGTACAGGCCAGTAACCCTCTTACCTGTCTTAGGAAAGTTAGGCGAAAGATTAATAGTGAAAAGGATGAAAGAATGGATGGATAGGGAAAATAGGGCAAATCCACTGCAATATGGATTCACGGAAAGTGTTGGAACTGTAGACGCACTTCTGGATATGAGAAGAGAAGTAGAAGAGACAGATGAAAAGTACGTAGTAGGCTTGTTCCTGGATATTTCTGGAGCCTTCGACTCCGCCTGGTGGCCAGAGATTCTGAGAGTTTTGAGGAGATGGAGATGTCCGAACAACATCTACCGATTGGTAAGGGACTACTTCCGAGGTAGAACCGTGACACTAAGAGCTGGCAACGGAGAGGTGAACAAGAACATCACTAAAGGATGCCCCCAAGGGTCTGTGGTGGGCCCTCTGTTGTGGAACATCCTGTTCGATGGGTTTTTGCGGCTGCCTTTCGAGGAAGGTATCTCCGCGAGAGCCTATGCGGATGACGGACTGCTTTTGGTGAAGTCGAACACAAGCCCTGATCTCATGAGGAAGGCATCAAGAGCCTTGGAACTGGTCACTAGGTGGGGGGAAGACAGGAAGATGACTTTTTCGAGGGAAAAGACAGTGATGGTGCTCCTGAAAGGAAGGTTGGTTGAAAGATTCATCCGTGTCGACATGGGAGACGTGACAATTCGGTGTTCAAATGAGACAAAGTACTTAGGAGTCGCAGTAAGAAGTGGATTGAAATTTGCAGGACATTATGAGCAAGTAATCGACAAGACTATGAAGGCATTCGGAAAGTTAAAAGGACTGGCCAAGGCAAACAACGGCATGAGATGCGAGAACTTGAGAAGATTGTACATCGGTGCGCTTGAACCAATGATGCTGTACGGCTGTGAGATGTGGGGCCAACGAATGAGGGGACGAGGTGAGAAGTCTAAGTTGATGAGTCTGCAGAGAAAACTGTTGTTGGGTGTGATCAAGGGCTACAGCACGATATCCCACGAAGCTGTCCGAGTGATTGCCGGGGTCATCCCGCTTGACTTGATGGTTGAAGAAAGGATTAAGAGAAGAAGGGACAAAGAAGAAGGTATCGACATCAAGGATAGCATGAGGATCCGAAGAGAAGAAACACTTGTTGACTGGCAGAGACGGTGGGAGTCTAGCACAAAAGGAAGGGAAACCTTTGCGTTCGTTCCGGATGTGAGGTTCAGGAAATAAAGTCCATTGGGAAACCGATCACTACACGACACAGTTCGTCAGCGGACACGGCAACTTCAAGGCAAAGCTGAAAAGTTTCAACCTCGTCGATGACGATCATTGCACTCATTGCGGAGAGCTGGAGACATCGCAGCACGTACTGATGGAGTGCCCATTCTATGAAGAAGAAAGAAGCGACATGAGGGAATTCCTCCAACAAAAGACATGGGATTGGGTGAAGATCAACTTCTTGAGAACCAAAGAATCTGCGCTGGAGTTTGCCAGAATGTGCCGAAGGATAGGGAAGAAAAAGCATGAATTTGAAAATGCAAGAAGACAGGCTGGAATTTGAAAAGAAAAATGTTAGGAAAGAAAGATAAAATTAAGAAGATTGGAAAGAAAGAAAAAAAAATCCGATGACCCTAGTACAGAGGGTACTAGGTGAGGGGAGAGGTGTTGGTTAGGCACAGAATGTGCCTGGAAGGACATGGATTGAAGCTGACAGCAGGAAGAGGAATCCGAAGATATTTCAGGAAAGCGGCCTGGTGAATAAGTCTCTGACTTAAACCAGGGGTGGTGGAGGGACCGCTGGGCTTCGGCCAAACACCTCTCTCTCTCTCTTGAGCTTGAGAGTGATGGCATTTGTTAGTCCACGGGTAGCCCGAAAAAGGAAGCCCAGCAGCAGCTGGTTGGCTCTTTTACATGGAATCCACATGCTCGTCGAGCCCAAACACATACTTATTGAGCTTTTAACATTGTATATTAACGTGATAGCGTTAAGAAAACTTTGACTATCTCAATATCTCTATTTAAACATAGTGGCACTTGGTCCACTTATGCATATAGCCGTCCAAATATTATTTACCTAATGCAAACGCATATTTAATTTAGCCAAGTGCAGCTATTTAATTCACTTGTTCCCGCTAATTCAATCCCAGACAGCATAGGATATTTTAAAAATATATATTTTTAATTTTTAAAGTATATTTTTAAAATGCATCCTATATCACCCCTAAAAAATATTTTAATGTACTATTATGTTAAAATATTATTAAAAAATTAAAAAAAATATAATTTAAAAATAATATTAAAGTATAAAAAAGTTTTTAAGATAGATATAAAAAATATTTATAAAATATCCTTGTGCTGTCTGGGATGTTAATTATATCAAAGATTTATCATTGTTAGTCAACATTGCTCGGATTTTAGAAGTTCCCTCTATTAAGTAGAATCTTAAGGCCCCCCAAAATAAAATAAAATAAAACCATTAAAACCTTTCAAGGCCCCCCAAAATAAAATAAAATAAAACCATTAAAACCTTTCAACAACTGATCCTCGATCCTCCCTCTTCAGAGTTCAGACTAATCAGAAGGTCGGATATCACAGTGACTACTCGGCGAAGCAGGGGAGCCGGCACAGTTGTTGATTGGCCAAATAAAATCATTGTATTCAGTTAACCTCAGTTCCTCAAAATTATTCCAGCCTAGCTGCTATTGAAAAAAATCACTGAGCTATAATTCTAACTGGAGGTAGCACTGAATGTCAAAGATGCGTGTCGCCAGCCGCCATGTTTGCGTGAGTTGTGAGCACTGTTGTGAGTTATATGAAGCAGCCATGTTATTGGATAAGAAAACTCACTGCTATACCAACCTTGTTATAGAAGCCATGTTATTGCTATGATAAGAAAACTCACTGCTATACCAACCTAACAAAATCAGCGACACGCTTTTGACAGACTTCTGCCATGGCAGTGCTACCTCCAGTTATAATTTTAGCTCAGTGAAAAAAATGATCAGAAATGAAACGTGAAATAAGACAGTGAAACACTGGAAACGAAACTTACGAAACAGAAGTCAGAATTCAGAAACAGTGAAACAGAACCAGACCAGACCAGATTGACCAGAACAGGAACAGAACAGAATGGCGAGTTTGTCAAAGCTCGATTTCTAAGTGCATAAGCTTAACAATATATGGTTAATAGCACATGTTGACGAGTTGAAATAGTATTTACATAAGCCAATCTTTTGAATTAATGCTGCTTTAGGTAAATTGTTGTTTCCTTACATAATTGTATTTTACATTTATTTCATTTAAGTTAGGCCTGGGCTATTCTTATTTTTTAGATGTTGTGTCATCAAGGGACATTTAATTTCCTAAGGCTGGTAAGTAAGTAAGTAGGCCTACCTATGTGTTACGATGCATCAGCTCAATCTTTTAGTTTTGTTTTTAAAGTGTTTAAACAGTTAATTTTTCACCACAGTTTTCAAATGTTAATTAGGGCCTAGGCTAACTTAATGTTAGCTTACATGCTCCAACCTAAGTTAGGCCTAACTTAGGCTAGGTCAATACACCATGAAATTCCCAAGGGTAATTACAGGCTCCAACCTAGGTTAGGTATGTCAAAAGATTGGATGCAAGGTTACAAACAAGACAGTTAGCTAGGTGTTTAGTGTTTGACTCTTGCTTGCAAGTTAACTTACCTACTTTCTGTTATGTTTTCAAACATTCAAAATTTATTTTGTTTTATATGACGATATTGATATCGGATTAAGCCTTTGTGAGATTTGATATGTGAAATTTGAGACCTATATAATCAACCATAATCTTGAATCACTAGGGGGCTAGTGGGGATTCAGGATTTTGGGTGGATAGACATCCAACGTAGTTAAGCTTAAGGCCTAATCATAGGGAGAAAAGGGTAATTTTACAGGTAATATAACTTATGTTAATGGGTAACCAGCCAGGAGGAATGGAACTTTATACAAACACATAGACCTATGTTAGGCCTATGTATTGAGCATGAACTCATTTTAGGCATGTGGAGAGGGCAGGTCGGGGCTTATGCTCATTCATGGCTGCATTAAGTGTTTTGAAGTTTGAACAAAAGTTAAATATGATTACAATAACTCACTTCTAGCCTAAAACTCAAACCCAACCCCATTACTATAATTTCCATATTATATTTAAGGAGTAACCATACCCCTACACTTACTTTACTTCCCTTATTCTTTGTTCATGAGGGGCCACATTGTAGTAACTTATACAATGTGAAGTTCAAAACAGTGTAGGCCTTAAACTTACAATGACTAACCTTGCAGGAAAAGCATGAGTCTGGATGAAAGCCGCGCTGTTCGCTCTAATGTGGCCGAGTCGATGAAAGAAGAAGTTCCAGTTGTCAATAACAATGACGACGCAAGTTCATCTCCCGGACGATCTTCACCTGATGCTAACTGTCCCATATGTCTCGGCAAACTTGAAAACAAATCCTTCACTGACAGCTGTCTACATCAGTTTTGTTTCAAATGTCTGTTGGAGTGGTCTAAAGTAAGTAGTAAACTACACACATACATCGATTATACTTCTACTAGATTAAGGTTTCATGCCTGGGTTTTTTAAACAGTTAGCAGCAAACTTAATTTAAAACATCAATATTCTTACTTTTTACTTAATCATTATCTTGGTTACCCATGTAGGCTAGGGTACGGTTTCTTAACCGTAAGATTTTTCAATCGATATTCTATGCTAATATCGATTGAAACTATCAAATTGAAAATATTGATAAGTAAATAATCTACCTTATTTTTAACTAAGTAAATAAAATGAAAATGACATGTACCGGTACCCTAACTTAACCAAACTTGCAGACAATGAAAAAATCGAATGAAGGTTTACTAATCAAATCGATAGAGGCCTAGTTTTAACATAGCCCAGTTAAGAAACTGTACCCCCCATGAAACTGTACCCCCATGTACGTCTTTTTGCAATTAATAGTGAATCTTTTTGTCGTTTTATTTCTTTGTGCACATTTTGAAGAATAGGCTAATTAAAATTTCCGTATTCGTTTTTAACCTTTTGTGTTGGAACCAGCCTTTAACATAGCCTACTTTTAAAAAAAAGATTTTGTTCAAATCTAGGCCTATTATTTACTTTGTCACCGGGTAGGCCTACCACGAAAACCTTTTGGAAAGCTATTTAAACTCTTGTTGAATTTCTATGAATCTAACTTAGGCCTATATAACATTAACTTTGATCAATTAGATATATCAAATTAAATTTATGTCAGATGTCAAGGTTAAACGTTTTTATTTCAAATTTCGCTAGATTGCTCCAAGTAGTTTTTTTATGGTTCAAGACTGATCTTAGCTGTCCTTAATAATTGGGGACTTAGGCCTAATACGACTCTTATTAAAAAATGCTAGGTAGTCTTAGTAAAGCTACACAAGGCATCTCACTCCATTCTACCCTCATCCATCCCTCGTAATTGACACTATTATATATGCGTCCCCATTTTAATTGCCAATAATAAGTAGAAAATATTTATTGACTCCTTGTTTTAGGTAAAAGCGGAATGTCCTCTTTGCAAGCAGAGTTTCAAATCAATTATTCACAATGTGCGCTCAATCGAAGACTATGAGCAGTACTACCTCAGCACAACGTCTACTGAAGGAACTCTCTTTGTCTCGCGGGAAATATTCGCGCGGCTGGAGAGCCCTGACGTTAACAGGGTACCTCCTAATGTCAGATTCAGGTATGTAACTAAAAAATCTAATAGTTTATCAACATTACATGATGCACCTAGGGCTGTATAATATTTATTTATTTGTAAATGTCTATTTAATAATAATCAGCCTACCAATCAGTAAAATAAAAAATCATAAGTTTTACTAGGGTCCATAAAAAAGTCAATGATTTCAACTGTTGGTATCTAGAGAATTACATATTTAATTTAAGTCATTCTAAATTATATACTGTTTTATCAGAACAGGAAAACCCCCATATATTATAATATATCTAGATATTAGGCTATCATTCTGTTCATCCTTTGAAATTATACGCAACGATGATAAAGTGGTAACTTACGCCTAAAAAGTTATATAGCCTAGGTATTTATATACACCTAATGAAAAAACAAAAAACATTGTTTATCCTCTGACAATTAAGTAAAATAAATATTCTATTTTTGTTTTTTGTATACATTTTTATTATTTAAGGTACAGAAAAAATTACTATTTAAAATAATAGTTGTTAAGCGCAGCAACGCGCGCCAGGTAACTGCTAGTTACCTATAAATTTAAAAAATGTATGTGTCAAATAAATTTTATCGGTAAAATAATTAATCCAGTTATTTTGTTAAATATTGTATACATACCTATTTGTTAATACTTCGTAATGGTAATTTTGCTAAATTCGATTGCTTTGATGATAATATTGGCAATGTTTTCAGAACAACTGCGGTTTCGTCGTACTTGGACTACTTTGTTAGATTGGAGGAAGCTATTTCCCATCGTGTTCTTCCTCCTGGGCCCTCAGGACCATCTATTAGCAGTGGACCGATATGGCAGCGCCGTCGCCAACGTGGGACCAGCGACTTCCGCCGCAACATCTACCAGCTGGGCATGTGGGTTCAACGAACTTCCGACGTCACTGGTCGGGTGAGAGAGTGCTCTCCTGAGTTCTACAGGTTAGAATCTTCTTACTTTTGTGTGTGTGTGTCAAGTAGGCCTTGTTCTACTACAGTAAACCTCTTAATGATTAACTGAAATAAAGGGGGTATCGGCATTTCAGATACCTAATCTTTTCAGTTAATCAATGGTAGGAATTTAAAGGCTGGCTATGTTTAATTTGTGAAATATACAGTTCAGTAGTTTTTCACTACACCAGTAGTTTTTATGAACCAGTAGTTTTTTCATGTCATTATAATTGCTATGATCTTAAAATCTATGCCTTGTAATGGTCAAATTGTGTTAGGGGTATTATTTATATTTATATTCACAAACGGTTCGAGCACGTCACGTGACCCCAACAATGATCGGCGAAAAAACATGTCCACTTGTCCAGTGATTTGTTCGGGACTTGGCCGCCGCCACCTTGGAGCGCTGACGTAGCGGTGGTGGGGAGTAGACGAGACCGCCGGACAGTGGACAATTCTTGGGTCAGTCGACGGCGAGCGTATGTTCGCTAAATACTCTCTCTCGAGACCATACGGGGGACCTGCGGACAGCCTGCGAGCTTATGTCGTGGATGCGATTCGCAACGAGCGAAATAAAAATAATAATTATTTATTTTACGTGCTGAACAGCTTTAATCCCAAGTAGTTTTAAAATGCATTTTGGAACAATCTATCTTATATTAACTACATACACTATGTGGACTAGTAGCACTAGAAACTTAAATATGGGTGAGATCCTTTGAGTCATAATTCAATCCTGCAGCAGCCACATGAACAACACTCTGAAGTCGGTGCCATTGGGTTTACTCATAACCCAACAGACTTGATTATTCCTAAAATATCCGCATCGAAGTATCATGACACTGTTATTTCTTATACTTTAATCACCAGTTTCATGAATTAGCTCAAATATTTTTAGTTTTCAAAACATTGGATTTTCGTATGTTTATCAGTCTTATCATGAAAGTGTTTTTGACCTTTAATAATTTTTAGGTCAAACCCAGCACAAGTGCATCGGTTAGTTCCCTGGCTCAACAGAGAACTGAATGTTTTGTTGTATGAGAACAGTCCGCACATCCAGCACGTGATGAGTCGCATTCTGGAGCTTATTACTCAGGTATGCTAAATAATAGTAGATTGTCTGTTTAGGCAACTGTAGTACATTAGGTTGTAGTCGGACTTATAAAGTGTAACTTTAACGATGTAAAACAATTGACTTAAAAGAAAGTAATGAACGGTGAAAGTAAATTGAAAAAAGAAAAAAAACACATCGTAGGTGTATGAATTAACTGCCGAAAAACACTAGAGACCATTTAGGACCTGGGTGTAAACTAGCTGAATGACTTTTAAAAAAGTTGTGAAAAAGAATTATTTTGCTGACTCAAGGCGACTGACTTCATCCACTAGTATCCCTCCTCATACAGTTCCTCTTTCTTTAACATCAGCCATCACACTCCTCTCTTCTTTCCCACATCCCACTTAAATTAATCTATTCACATTCTGGGATTTTCTCTGTCCTCTTTCCTTCTATCAAAATTAATTGTCATGTCCTAAGAATCCTCCCTTCTAATTTTTTTTTCAAAATTCCAGACCATCTTTGTTATGTATTTTCTCCTGTCTCCCTTGTCTTCAACTACTTCTCTTCTAATCTCTTGTACTCAAAACTATATCCCCACCAAGGTCTCTTTATAGCTCTTAAAAGTCTCATTCCTTCAACTAGTAATCTCCTTCATTCTTTTTGTTATATATTCCATACTTTAAATCCACCTAGTAGTTTTTCAATGTACTTACAGTTTTGTTCACAAATAATTGTAAATTGTTTGTCAATGTATTGCGCGAAAATCTTACCAATACTGTTTGATTTGATTGACCTGCTCGGATTTTGTTTCGGTTGTAACATTTCACTTGTAAACTGATTTGTGTTTCAGGTGCCCATCCGCAGTCCTGGGTTCGCAGCAGTGATGGCACCCTACATTGGGCGCAACACTGAACACTTCATTCACGAGTTCCACAGCTTCGCTATCTCACCCTTTGACATAATCGGTTATGACAGACATGCCAACTACGTAGGCCGCAGCCAGATCAGTGATTACCATTCATCACATGATAGTGACAGTGACGTCCAGGTATGTAGCCTAGGGTAGAATTTTGACGGGATTCAAAGAGTAAGAGGGTTAAAAGAAATTTACGCCAATAGAGTAAGTTGTAATATGATTGTTACTTTGCATTCAGGTGCCAAATAAACAAAACTGGACAAATAGTTTTCTTTTTTGTGGTAATTGTTAGTTTAAAAAGTGAAAGATAGCTATTGGTTTCTTTCTGACTAGAGGTTACATCTCTGACTTAGGTGTAAGTTTCAGTCATACAATTTAAAAAAAATCTTGTCTCTGATATATACTTTGGGTAGCTTTATTTGGAATCTACTACCGGTATGGTGTATGTAAAGCTCAAACTCCAAATGCCGGCAATGACCGAAGATTTTACCGAATTTTTTACTTCGCGATGTGGACAGTGTGAAATACCCACGTCACGGAGTGAGCATTTTATCTGGACATTGGCCGAAGCGAAATGCCCAGACCGCGTTCTGGGTAAACTAATTTACTCAAATTGAAGTCAAAACGATCATCAGCAATTGAGCAAATGCAAAATACCCACAACACGATGTAAGCAAAAGTAATTGCCCACGTCGGGTTGTGGGTATTTCTAGTTTGCGCAAATGCCGAATAGCCTGTATAAACTACCGCTTACACTAAAATCTACATGAAATCCACAATCACGAGGTAAAATAAAATTTTATTTAGGTATGTTTGAAATTATATTTATTTAATATACGAGTATAAATAACATTTGAGAAAAATACAGGTAAACAGCAAATTACCGAATAGGAAAAATTGTTAAAAGGCCCATAACAAATACACAGACATTAAAATAAGGTTTTTTTCTGCCATAAGGACGACCTTAAATCTGTGACCATTGTACAGTTCTTGTTACATTTGTATTTTACTTTTTGGCTCAGGATGTGCTGCAGTGGCATATAGAAATGAATTTTATGTATAACTTAATACATTTTCATGATTTACCTAAAGAGTTCCTCTTGCAACATCTGACAAAACCTTGCTTGGATCCGGATGACATCATTGTTTCTTTGCATTAGTTTAGTTGCTCATCCTTGGTGCAAATAAATTTATTTGGTGTCACCTGGAATCGGTTTCTTGAGAACTATTTTTCCAGAAATGAACTTCATATTTTATAGCCTACCAAGAGTGTAGTCATTGTTATTATTTACAAACTCTGCCAGTGGTCCCCAGTCAACATTAGGAATATTGACCATCACGTTGTCCCCAGCTGAAACTGGCTTTAATTTTCTTTCTGGGTTCCTCAACATTTTTTGTGCTGGACTTTTAAGGAAGTTAAAGTTTTCCCGTGTTTTATCAATAGATTTTCTTGAACAAAAAGAACACAAAGGTAGGTTAATGTCCTGTGAGAACGAAAATTCGGCTTTTGCTCAAACTAGAAACCTTACATTGGCAATTACTTTTGCTCATGACCGGGTATTTTACTTCGGATAAAATGTTCTCAATGTCCGAATAAAATGCTCACACTGCGACGTGTGTATTTCACATTGTCCGAATTCAGAGTTTGAGTGTAACATATCCAATAGAAAAATAATTGCAACAACAACAGGATGAGCCTTAGTTGACAGCCAGTTCTTAGTGACATGGTAAAAATTAGGCCTTTAAATATTATGCTTCATCAATCTGTTACTACTTATAGTCTATGTTTAATTTACTTAACCATATGCCGTTAATCCCTCACCAAGCTTTTAAACAAAAGAATTAAAGTAATACGCTATTAGTTGCAGTAGCCTAAGTAGTGAATAATTCCTGGTATTTTTTCATTAGGTGTTGGAGGAAGGAATACATGCTCCATCTCCCCTGATTCAACTCGTAGACACGGACAGTGATGATTGTATTGTGTTGGATACACCAGTGAGACCCCAACCTGATGTGATCACTCTAGACTCAGACGGTGACGATGTCGTACAGATAAACATCGAAACTCACCAGCCAAGTCAGTCGACAAGCGGTCAGACATCAACTGCTTCTACGAGTCAGCAGAGACCTTCTACATCGCGTAGGCCTCGCCTTAAGCGTAACTGGCTCACTGTCAACAACATACAAGTACCTTCCACGTCTACTAGCGACATCAAGGGTTGCGAGATTTCCATCAGCATCGCTCATTCCAGCCGCTCTCTCAGCCCAACAGTTTCGGAAGATTCTTCATCTTCATACTCACCTGTTAGGAGGAGACCGTCCAAGCCCAAGAAGAAAGCTCCGAAGAAGAAAAGTCGCAAAGGTAAACCGGTAGAAGTGCCAACTTGCTTGAGGGTTGTAAGCGAGAGTGAGCCAGAAAGCTTGCCCCGTCCGGTGACCAGGCGTAAAGAAGTGCCAACATTGAAAGTTGAAAGCGAAAGCGAGCCAGAAAGCTTACCCCGTCCTGTGACCAGACGAAAAGAAGTGTCAACATTAAAAGTTGTAAGCGAGAGTGAGCCGGAAAGCTCACCTGGTCCAGTGACTAGGCGTAAAGAAGTACCAACATTAAGGGTCATAAGCGAAAGCGAGCCCGAAAGCTCGCCTGGTCCGGTGACCAGACGTAAACCTTCAGTGGCAATTGTAAGTACTTCTTCTGAAAACGGCAGTGAAAGAACTAGCAAAGCAGATGTAAAACAAGCTAGCTTCAAACGGAGAGAACGTAAGCAATTACATTCTCCGATAAGCAGTGACAGTTTACAACAAGCTAGCTTCAAACGGAGAGAACGTAAGCAATTACATTCTCCGATAAGCAGTGACAGTTTACAACAAGCTAGCTTCAAACGGAGAGAACGTAAGCAATTACATTCTCCGATAAGCAGTGACAGTTTACAACAAGCTAGCTTCAAACGGAGAGAACGTAAGCAATTACATTCTCCGATAAGCAGCGACAGTGATGATGACAGATTGTATATGGACACAGATACGGATTTGAGCTCAGATGTAGAGTACAAGCCACGTTTAAAGAGTGTTGTTGTTAAATCTATTGTAAAACCCGAGCCCCGAACAGTTTCCCCCGATTTCGCACCTCCCTATGGATCAGAGATCCGCGATTATGAATCTTTATCCTCACGTTTCTCCGACCTCCCTAGTTGCTCCCGGAGCCGGTCAAACTCGTACAGGTCCATTCACAGCCATCGTAGCCGACACTCATCCACTTCCTCACCTGAGAGATATAAACGATGCAAATACTCAAAAAAAAGATCAAAGTGCGATAAGTAATTTGTAAATAAATGGCACATCGCTTCAGTGTCCTAGACTTTGTACATTATATGCGTGAAAATTGGTAAAAAAACATTCCAATATAGTTCAAACACATGACATAGTGACTTAAAATCTTGTACACAGTTATTATTTATATTTACAACACTGTTAGGTTACATATATGACAATGCTGTTTGCCGAAATTGCTTGTACAATTTTATTTATAAGATAATAGCTAATATTCTTGATACAGTAGACCCCCTCTTAACTGACCCTAACGGGACTGGACCTATGTTGGATAGCTCAAAAGGTCGTTTAAACAGGCAAAAGTGGGCACCATGTCTTTTTTCCCACCTATCGAACCATCCAACCATCCGTTACTGGCAGTGAAACTGCTGCAATTTTTAATCTTAGAATGAAGCATGGTTGCATTTTCCTTTAAAATTCAGCCACTTAATGGGGCTTTTGTAAACGAACGTAGACGATGCACTCTTGCGTAAACCACAACTACAGTGCATCATCTACGAGATCATTTGTTAGTTAATGAACACCGTGTCGCCAACGCTGTCAGATTTGATCTGAGTACAAAAATCTTATAAAGATTTCCCGTTACGGCGCCAGTCTTTGACGGTTGTTCAACACCCAGTTCGTCCCTAATTTGTTTCATGAGTGCACCTTTGTCAAAACGGTCCAATGCGCTTAACAACGAACCGTTTTTGTTTCACCGATGTAATTTTGATGTTTGGAATTGTATATACAGTAGAACTGTATATATGTTTAAAAAAATACACTTTATGTTTTAACACCTTTTTATTTTTACAGAGTTAACTTAAGTACGGTTCAATTAAATAAAATAAATGCCTAAACACACATTTCAACACACTTTACTGTTATTATAACTTTGCTGCACAGATAACAAATAGACTAGATGTACTCATGCTACGAACAATTATGAAAAACCTGCAATAAGCAATATTTCTTAGGATTAATGTAAAATAACGTATTCTTATTAATACCCTGTAGAGTTTAGTGTAGCCCTATTGTTCTCAAAGCTGAGCAAATATTCAGAGATTTGTAGAAAGTGACGGTTAAACCGAACTCTCAAAACAATCTTTATTATTTATGAGCGAGGGTGAATAATCCGATTATTAGTTATTGCGAGGTCAGTTGGGGTCTACTGTATAAGTGATCTTAACAGAAAAAAATAACATGTTCTAGAGTTGTAGCATTTTGATATATTTATTTCTTAGAATTTTCTTGTTCTTAAGAGTTTTAATTAATAGTTTAAATTTATTTGGAGTTGCCTTGTTAATCTAAACTATACAAATATCATGGGTTGTTGGGTTAACAGGCTTATCAGAATGTAAAAGAGTTCATACTGGCATTATATCATAACAGTTTACACTTTACACTGTGGACATTTCATTGTCGCTGACAGCATTTTTAAGAAAAATGGATTGAGTTTGGGAAAAATACATAACTCAAACTTCCCTAATTAAATTGTCAGTGATAGTGAAATGTTGAGCCTACCTCTCAACGTAATCCTTGTAACAAGGCTCTTGCGTTCTTTGTTGTATCATATAAATGTTCATTATAAGAGATTGATTTGTTCCCAAGATAGGTGCCTTAAAACCTTTGATTCCCATGTGTAGGAACTTGACACAATTTTCCCAAACTCCTTCTCGGTTTCAAAGTTTGGTACTTGTTTAGTCACTTGACGAAATATCAGTTCTGTGACCAGTATCCACAACAGGCCCCTGGAAACCCAAAGAAACCCATAATATGTTAAAAGGTAGACTTAAGCCCTCAAAGTAATAGCATTAAGTTGCGTCTGAGTTATGGGACATAGTACTGTAATTTTCCTCAGTTTAGATGTATGACAAATAAATAAGGTTACCTTTGCCTGACTAAGATAAAAGAATACTCAAGTCTTGGCAATTAGCATCACCTCATTTTACTGGTCTAATGTATGAATCATCATGAAAGATATGATTAAAGCTGTTAGTAAAATGCAAGATGCATGATAAAAACTGCAAGTAAGTAAATAAACTGGTTTTTTAAACTTACTGCCCATCACTATATTCTGACTTGTCTGTACAGTGGTGTAAAGACAGTGTCAATACGGTGTAAGGCGGCTTATAGACGGAAAAGTAGGGATGGCAATTATCAGCCAGTTGTGCTTACTACATAATTACCAAGGAAAGTATCCCTATAAACAAGGTAAGTATGTGATAAGTGCAACTGCCAAGTACTTGCAGGAAATTGCCGTCTCTACTTTCAGTGCCGGATTTTGGGTACTTGTGGCGCAAGGGCAAAATAACCTGTGCGGCCCCCGCATCTTGGAACTTCCCCGCGATCAAGGCGAAATCGTGAACATCTCCACTCCAAGGAGATCATCACGTGCCATTGCCGTAAAATAGTAAACATCTCCCGCTATCACCGAGACATCATTTATCACCTGCAATGGCAGTAAAATAGTAAACATCTCCCGCTATCACCGAGACATCATTTATCACCTGCAATGGCAGTAAAATAGTAAACATCTCCCGCTATCACCGAGACATCATTTATCACCTGCAATGGCAGTAAAATAGTAAACATCTCCCGCTATCACCGAGACATCATTTATCACCTGCAATGGCAGTAAAATAGTAAACATCTCCCGCTATCATGGGGACATCATTCATAACCTGCGATAGCAGTAAAATAGTAAACATCTCCCGCTATCATGGGGACATTGTTCATCACTTGCGATGGTTGTAAATAGTAAACATCTCCCGCTATCATGGGGACATCGTTCATCACCTGCAATGGCAGTAAAATAGTAAACATCTCCCGCTATCACCGAGACATCATTTATCACCTGCAATGGCAGTAAAATAGTAAACATCTCCCGCTATCACCGAGACATCATTTATCACCTGCGATAGCAGTAAAATAGTAAACATCTCCCGCTATCATGGGGACATTGTTCATCACTTGCGATGGTTGTAAATAGTAAACATCTCCCGCTATCATGGGGACATTGTTCATCACCTGCGATGGCAGTAAAATAGTAAACATCTCCCGCTATCATGGGGACATCGCTCATCACCTGCGATGGCAGTAAAATAGTAAACATCTCCCGCTATCATGGGGACATTGTTCATCACTTGCGATGGTTGTAAATAGTAAACATCTCCCGCTATCATGGGGACATTGTTCATCACTTGCGATGGTTGTAAATAGTAAACATCTCCCGCTATCATGGGGACATTGTTCATCACTTGCGATGGTTGTAAATAGTAAACATCTCTCGCTATCACGTAGACAACATTCATCACCTGCGATGGCAGTAAAATAGTAAACATCTCCCGCTATCACGGGGACATCGTTATCCCCACCGATTTAAGAAAAAATTAAATTTTTCTTTTTAAAACAAGTTGTTTACAAAACGCTGCGGCCCTAGTGGTAAATCTGGCACTGTCTACTTTCCCCGTTTATAAGCAGCCTAAGCCACGGGTAAGCCAGTAGTGGCTACAGTACTAGATTTCACTCTGTTGTAGAATTTCTTCTATATTTCACTGATAATAGAATTTATCCCAATCTCCATTCCATTTGGCAAGTATTCTTGAACCAGCAATTTGGTTTATAAACCCAAGAAGCTTTCACTGTACAACCAATCTCAGTTGTAAGATGATAACTAAATCTTAAGCTGTAATAATTACCGTATTTTATTATGTACCAAATTAAAAAAAAAACTGATGATCCAACAATTGGGATTGTAAACATTTTGCATCTTACCCTCGATTGCTTTAAGACATGTAATTATTTATTTGTAGACTTCTTTGTTTGTCTTGACAATTCTTTTAGATCAAGCTCGTTACTACCTATTTTGTTGAGTGTGGTTTGAAAATTTTATACATTAATTAATAATTTGTATTTGTAGTTTTGAAGCGTTTTTAACTTTCAGGGGTTTTCCTTTAGATATAAAAATTCAATTGTTCATTTCTTAAGGAATGATTTGTAGTGTCTTAAGAATGTTTAAACTTTAAAAACACTTGATGTGCAATAATTTTTACAACATTTTTCTGGGTTTTCTTTTTAGGCTGGAATACGTCCGTGCAAGTCACTGTTGATTGAAATTTGTTTTGATGCAACATTTCCTACCTCATATCTAATGAACTGAACTGCCTTATTTCTTTTAGAAAATTCAAATGGTTTGTATGTGTTAGGCCTATTATAGGTTTTTGATTTAAAATAGAATTGTCTACATAATATGTTAAATTTCGGCTGAATTGACATAATAACTATCCATAGTAACATGTTATTGTAATTATACTGTGTATAAACTTTGTTATTTGTTTAGAAAAATAAATTTACTTGCATTTTGCACCCGAGTTATAAATTTCCTGAAATACATCTTGTCTTACATTAAGCCTACTCAAAGAAATGTATGATTGAAAGGGAAATGAGTTTTCAAAATTGTAAAAGTATGTATTATTTATTGTGACTTAACCTAAGACTTGGTACAAGATTTGATGGTCCATTCACAGCCATCGTAGCCGACACTCATCCACTTCCTCACCTGAGAGATATAAACGATGCAAATACTCAAAAAAAAGATCAAAGTGAGATAAGTAATTTGTAAATAAATGGCACATCGCTTCAGTGTCCTAGACTTTGTACATTATATGCGTGAAAATTGGTAAAAAAACATTCCAATATAGTTCAAACACATTACATAGTGACTTAAAATCTTGTACACAGTTATTATTTATATTTAAAACACTGTTAGGTTACATATATGACAATGCTGTTTGCCGAAATTGCTTGTACAATTTTATTTATAAGATAATAGCTAATATTCTTGATACAGTAGACCCCCTCTTAACTGACCCTAACGGGACTGGACCTATGTTGGATAGCTCAAAAGGTCGTTTAAACAGGCAAAAGTGGGCGCCATGTCTTTTTTCCCACCTATCGAACCATCCAACCATCCGTTACTGGCAGTGAAACTGCTGCAATTTTCAATCTTAGAATGAAGCATGGTTGCATTTTCCTTTAAAATTCAGCCACTTAATGGGGCTTTTTCCTTTACGCCTCTCTTGCGTAAACCACAACTACAGTGCATCATCTACGAGATCATTTATTAGTTAATGAACACCGTGTCGCCAACGCTGTCAGATTTGATCTGAGTACAAAAATCTTATAAAGATTTCCCGTTACGGGGCCAGTCTTTGACGGTTGTTCAACACCCAGTTCGTCCCTAGTTTGTTTCATGAGTGCACCTTTGTCAAAACGGTCCAATGCGCTTAACAACAAACCGTTTTTGTTTCACCGATGTAATTTTGATGTTTGGAATTGTATGTACAGCAGAACTGTATATATGTTTAAAGAAATACACTTTATGTTTGAACACCTTTTTATTTTTACAGAGTTAACTTGGTTCAATTAAATTAAATAAATGCCTAAACACACATTTCAACACACTTTACTGTTATTATAACTTTGCCGCACAGATAACAAATAGACTAGATGTACTCATGCTACGGACAATTATGAAAAACCTGCAATAAGCAATATTTCTTAGGATTAATGTAAAATAACGTATTCTTATTAATACCCTGTAGAGTTTAGTGTAGCCCTATTGTTCTCAAAGCTGAGCAAATATTCAAAGATTCATAGAAAGTGACGGTTAAACCGAACTCTCAAAACAATCTTTATTATTTATGAGCGAGGGTGAATAATCCGATTATTGGTTATTGCGAGGTCAGTTGGGGTCTACTGTATAAGTGATCTTAACAGAAAAAAATAACATGTTCTAGAGTTGTAGCATTTTGATATATTTATTTCTTAGAATTTTCTTGTTCTTAAGAGTTTTAATTAATAGTTTAAATTTATTTGGAGTTGCCTTGTTAATCTAAACTATACAAATATCATGGGTTGTTGTTGGGTTAACAGGCTTATCAGAATGGAAAAAAGTTCATACTGGCATTATATCATAACAGTTTACACTTTACACTGAGGACATTTCATTGTTGCTGACAGCATTTTTAAGAAAAATGGATTGAGTTTGGGAAAATACATAACTCAAACTTCCCTAATTAAATTGTCAGTGATAGTGAAATGTTGAGCCCTCTCAATGTAATCCTTGTAACAAGGCACATGTGTTCTTTGTTATATCATATAAATGTTCATTATAAGAGATTGATTTGTTCCCAAGATAGGTGCCTTAAAACCTTTGATTCCCATGTGTAGGAACTTGACACAATTTTCCCAAACTCCTTGGTTGTTAGTAGCATACTCAGTTTCATAGTTTGGTACTTTTTTAGTCACTTGACGAAATATCAGTTATGTGACCAGTATCCACAACAGGCCCCTGGAAACCCAAAGAAACCCATACTATGTTAAATGGTACACTTAAGCCCTCAAAGTAATAGCATTAAGTTGCGTCTGAGTTATGGGACATAGTACTGTAATTTTCCTCAGTTTAAATGTATGACAAATAAATAAGGTTACCTTTGGCTGACTAAGCTAAAAGTGTGAATACTCAAGTCTTGGCAATTAGCATCACCTCATTTTACTGGTCTAATGTATGAATCATCATCAAAGATATGATTAAAGCTGTTAGTTAAATGCAAGATGCATGATAAAAACTGCAAGTAAGTAAATAAACTGGTTTTTTAAACTTACTGTCCATCACTATAGTCTGACTTGTCTGTACAGTGGTGTAAAGACAATGTCAATACGGTGTAAGGCGGCTTATAGACGGAAAAGTAGGGATGGCAATTATTAGCCAGTTGTGCTTACTACATAATTACCAAGGAAAGTATCCCTATAAACAAGGTAAAGGGTGTAGCATAGAGCACAAGGGCCTAGATTTTTTAGGGTTTTTTGAGAGGATAGCAGGCTTACCTGAATGGGAAAGAGTCCAAACTGGCACAGGAAACACAAAACAAAACTTTACACTATATACACAAAACATTAGAATATTTCACTGTCACTGACAGCATTTTCAACTAAGGAAGAGAGAGTTTTCTAGATCATCTTGATCATCATTTTCTTGATCTAGAAAACTCTCTCTTCCTTAGTTGAAAATGCTGTCAGTGACAGTGAAATATTCTAATGTTTTGTGTATATAGTGTAAAGTTTTGTTTTGTGTTTCCTGTGCCAGTTTGGACTCTTTCCCATTCAGGTAAGCCTGCTATCCTCTCAAAAAACCCTAAAAAATATAAACAAGGTAAGTATGTGATAAGTGCAACTGCCAAGTACTTGCAGGAAATTGCCGTCTCTACTTTCAGTGCCGGATTTTGGGTACTTGTGGCGCAAGGGCAAAATAACCTGTGCGGCCTCTGCATCTTAGTTGGAACTTCCCCACGATCAAGGCAAAAATAATAAAACATCTCCCGCTATCATGGAGACATCATTCATCACCTGCGATGGCAGTAAAATAGTAAACATCTCCCGCTATCATGGGGACATCGCTCATCACCTGCAATGGCAGTAAAATAGTAAACATCTCCCGCTATCACGGGGACATCGTTCATCACCTGCGATGGCAGTAAAATAGTAAACATCTCCCGCTATCATGGGGACATCGCTCATCACCTGCAATGGCAGTAAAATAGTAAACATCTCCCGCTATCACGGGGACATCGTTCATCACCTGCGATGGCAGTAAAATAGTAAACATCTCCCGCTATCATGGGGACATCGTTCATCACCTGCAATGGCAGTAAAATAGTAAACATCTCCCGCTATCATGGGGACATCGCTCATCACCTGCAATGGCAGTAAAATAGTAAACATCTCCCGCTATCATGGGGACATCGTTCATCACCTGCAATGGCAGTAAAATAGTAAACATCTCCCGCTATCATGGGGACATCGTTCATCACCTGCAATGGCAGTAAAATAGTAAACATCTCCCGCTATCATGGGGACATCGCTCATCACCTGCGATGGCAGTAAAATAGTAAACATCTCCCGCTATCACGGGGACATCGTTCATCACCTGCGATGGCAGTAAAATAGTAAACATCTCCCGCTATCACGGGGACATCGTTATCCCCCACCTCTAAGTCTGAAAAAAATTAAATTTTTCTTTTTAAAACAAGTTGTTTTTTTTTACAAAACACTGCGGCCCTAGTGGTAAATCTGGCTCTGTCTACTTTCCCCGTTTATAAGCAGCCTAAGCCACGGGTAAGCCAGTAGTGGCTGCAGTACTAGATTTCACTCTGTTGTAGAATTTCTTCTATATTTCACTGATAATAGAATTTATCCCAATCTCCATTCCATTTGGCAAGTATTCTTGAACCAGCAATTTGGTTTATAAACCCAAGAAGCTTTCACTGTACAACCAATCTCAGTAGTAAGATGATAACTAAATCTTAAGCTGTAATAATTACCATATTTTATTATGTACCAAATTTAAAAAAAAAACTGATGATCCAACAATTGGGATTGTAAACATTTTGCATCTTGCCCTCAATTGCTTTAAGACATGTAATTATTTATTTGTAGACTTCTTTGTCTTGACAATTCTTTTAGATCAAGCTCGTTACTACCTACTTTGTTGAGTGTGGTTTGAAAATTTTATACATTAATTAATAATTTGTATTTGTAGTTTTGAAGCGTTTTTAACTTTCAGGGGTTTTCCTTTAGATATATTCAATTGTTCATTTCTTAAGGAATGATTTGTAGTGTCTTAAGAATGTTTAAACTTTAAAAACACTTGATGTGCAATAGTATTTATAACATTTTTCTGGGTTTTCTTTTTAGGCTGGAATACATCCGTGCAAGTCACTATTGATTGAAATTTGTTTTGATGCAACATTTCCTACCTCATATCTAATGAACTGAACTGCCTTATTTCTTTTAGAAAATTCAAATGGTTCGTATGTGTTAGGCCTATTATAGGTTTTTGATTTAAAATAGAATTGTCTACATAATATGTTAAATTTCGGCTGAATTGACATAATAACTATCCATAATAACATGTTATTGTAATTATACTGTGTATAAACTTTGTTATTTGTTTAGAAAAATAAATTTACTTGCATTTTGTCCCCGAGTTATAAATGTCCTGAAATACATCTTGTCTTAGATTAAGCGCTCAAAGAGTTGTATGTGTGAAAGGGAAATGAGTTTTCAAAATTTTATATATTATTTATTGTCACTTAACCTATTACTTTGTACAAGATTTGATGAAAACCTGTTTCAACAACCAGCAAAGTGTATGCCTTTGACGTTGAACGCGTGGAGAACCCTGAAACCAGTAAAAGATAAATAAATAAGCAATCGTGCTGAACACAAACTAGGTTTTTTTTTTTAATTTAAGGATGTAACAGAGCACAATTTCCTAGGTTTTTAGGATTTTTAGAGATGATA